TAAAAATTCAAGAAAATGTTGCCTTCAAACTATATTACTAAAATAATCAACAAAAAAGTTATTTCACTTACAATATTTATTGCTACTTAAGCAAATTTTGGCGCGAATCAAGGCTTTTATATTGGTCTCGGCTTTCTAATTTTGCAAAAATGTGGCCCAGGCGCTTTTCATCAGTGACAGCACTTGCAGACTCACTAACAACACGCACAAACCGTTCGGTATTCTGGGAATGACAGAGGAACTCTAAAAAAAAATGATTTAAAAGTACTATAAGACCCGTGAAGTTTTTAGTTTGAAGATATTTACCTGGGATATTTATCACTTCATTTTCCGAAAATTGAAACATTGTAAGTTCACTATCTGGGTAGAACTGCACACAAGGGGGTTCCGTAATCTTAAACTGACTCCAATCGATCATGCTGACATACGACTTACTTTCAAAGTTTATTACGCCACGCTTTGGGACCTTGAACATGCGAAGCCCTGCTGGTGGATATTGACGTGCTGTTTTGATTTTTTCGTACCCATCATTACGTATCTCTGGATCAGCGTCAGCAATTGTCAGTTCTAGTATGATCAAGCCCACTATCTAATGACAAAAGCCTTGGCCCGCATTGATCATAAAGAAAGTCATTTACCGCGGTTGGAACTCTACTTGCACTAGGGCAATCACATTGTCGATTTAAGTCCATAATGCACTTACACTTTGAAATTAACAATATTTTATTCCATTCCTGATCATTATATTCATAAGGATGTTTTTTTACATTGTAATAACTTTGAAGGAGGCTTTCAATGTTTCTCCGGAGCGTAGTTCTTGTAACTATAGGGATGTTTGCCTGCTGCCACAACTTTGAAATTGTGTTCATAACTATTGGCAAATATTCATTGAGACTTCGATTTTTTGGAACACTTGCAGAGCCGTAATATTTAAGGAACAAAAAATATTCAATAACACCACGTTTCGTAGGTAACATTTTAATATCAATATCGCGCTTAACGAAAGCCATTTTTAAATTGCACACACTGTTAAGTCACTTTTTAATTTTATTTCACCAGCACAATTTATGGTATTAATTATAAATTATTATTATCAATACGAAACAACAGGTTTGACTCACTTATTTACTTTGACTTCCACAATTTATAAAATTTATTGGCATGATTAAATTACAAGAGGTTAGCTCGCTATTGACAGCGTCAGTTTTGCACTCCCCGGGTTGCTGATGCGACGAAAACAAAGAGTATGAATTTGGGAAAAATCGTAGCAAAAATGTACCTAAATTGGTACGAAAGCAGTGAGATTAAATTTCCAACTAAGAAAACTGTTGGAGGAATTTGTGGGGGCGAATTTTGTTAGCTGACCTAACCATGGGTAGACGACTTCATAGCTTAAAAGGAAATGTGATGACATGTTAATTTTAAAAATCGGCCGTCAAATACCCAACTTTCAACGAAAAAACCTTTTCGGCTGTATTTCGAAGGGTTAAAAAAAAAATAAAATAAAAATTTCGAAATCCTCTCAACATAATCCTTAAATTTAGGTTACTCTGTTGCATAAAAAAAATCAATTTTTGTTGTACTGTGTTATTATACTTACATCTGAAACTCATGTTGACCTGTGATATTAAAAGTGCTATAACTCCTTTGTTTATTATTTTAGTAATATAGTTTGAAGGCAACATTTTCTTGAATTTTTAAGTACTTTCGTTTGGTAAGGAAAAAAATATACTTTAGGGGGGGTAAAATTTTGTTTCTGCCCTTATCATGCGAACGCGACTTCAAAGCTTAAAAAGACATAAGAACGAAAAGTGAAGCTTCTCAAGACAAAAATAATGACATATCAATTTTAAAAATCGGCCGTCAAATAACCAAGTTACAACGAAAAAACCATTTCGGCTGTATTTCGGAGGGTTAAAAAAAAAAAAAAAAAAATTTTCCAGAACCCTCTCAACATAAT